TGGAGTCTCCTTCTGTCACCCAGACTGGAGTGCAGTGGCACGCTCCCGGCCACCGCAACCTCGACCTGCTGGGCTCTGGCAATCCTTCCGCCTCAGCCTTCCAAGTAGCTATAACTACAGGCATGTGCTACGACGCCAGGCTAATTTTTTGATTCATTGTAGAGATGAGGTCTCGCCAAGTTGCCTTGTGGGTCTCGAACCCGCAGGCTCAGGCAATCCACTTACCTCAGCCTCCCAAAGCATGGGATTACAGGCTGAGCCACCGAGCCCAGCTGACTATGTGATCTTAGCAAAGTCACATTGCTTTTCTGGGTCTCAGTTTTGTTTGTTTTTATTCTGTAAATGAGATTTCTTCCTTTCCTTTTTATAATTAATGAAAAGCAGTTTTGTAATGTCTGAGGAAAGTAAGGAAGGCCCAGTAGCGGGAAAATTCAGAAGACTAGATGGTAAACTTCAAGAAGTTTGATTAGCAAGGAACTGAAGGACCATGGTGGCAGAGAGCAGGCCTCAGCAGGCAGTGGTGACCCATCTTGAGACCACTTCTGAGAGGCCCTCCTCCTATGGAAAAATCAGATTAAATCCTTTTTCTGAATAGGTAACAAATGCATATGGTACTGCAGGATAACAGTTATACCATGGTGCCCCGATAGCCTTGCACGTAACCACACAAGACATGTGGGCAAGGCTTGAATTACAGCTGATCTCAGTCTTCACAGGAACTGAACACCTTGTGATCCTTGAGTGGGAGGCTGGTGAGGAACTACTACCAGGCCACTGCCCACTCACCTGCCTATCTCCCTGGGAGGCTTTCATGAGACACTTCTCTTCATCTCCAGCTCTGATGAGATAGAAGGCTTTCTGCTTTCCTCCACGTAGAGTCCAGCTTCAAGCTATAAAGCTGCTTCGCTGCAGCACAGCACTGGTTCCTCAGCCACAGGGTGTTCCATCTGCTGTGCTACAGCCATCTGGCCCGTTTCAGTGTCACCCCAAGCAAAGGACACAGGAAGCCAGCACCTTTGGCTACTCTTTCTTTCACTATGGAAGTCATAAACTCTGTGAATCTGAAAAGGGCTCATTGTTTGTCTTTCTAGATGTAACTTTTTTTTTTTGAGTTGGAGTCTCACTCTATTGCCCAGGCTCGAGTGCAGTGGCACGCTCATGGCCACCCCAGCATTGACCGGCTGGGCTCCAGCAATCCTTCCACCTTAGCCTTCCAAGTAGCTGGAACTACAGGCATGCACTACCATGCCTGGCTAATTTTTTATTTATCGTAGAGACAAGGTCTTGACAAGTTGCCCAGGCTGGTTTCGAACCTGAGGGCTCAGGCAATCCACTTGCCTCAGCCGCCCAAAGTGCTGGAATTACAGGCTGAGCTACCGAGCCCAGCCAGTTCATTGTTTCTTTAAAGGCCATGACTGTTAGGCCTTGCCAATGCTTGACAGATACAAAATTCTGAAGTTACATAAATGGTTTATATGGAGAAATCTCCACTCTTCTCCCAGCCACCAAGTTTGTCTTTTCTTCCCACTTCCTAAGGCAGTCACAGTATCCAGGTTTTTGTACATTCTTTCAGATATATATATATATATAGAGAGAGAGAGATATAAATATAGATACAGGCAGGGCATGGTGGCTCAGCCTGTAATCGCAGCACCTTGGGAGGCTGAGGCAAGAGGACTGCTTGAGTCCAGGGGTTTGAGACCAGTCTGCGCAAATTGGTGAGACCTCATCTCTACAATAAATCACACAAAAAAACTAGCCGGGTGTGGTGGCGTGTGTCTATAGTTTCAGCTACTTGGAAGGCTGAGGTGGAAGGATCGCTTAAGCCCAGCAAATTGAGGTTGGGGTGGCCGTGAGCATGCCACTGCACTCCACCCTGGGCGACAAGAGTGAGACTCAAACTCAATCAATCAATAAATCAATACACAAATATACAGAAATATGTATTTCAGAGATAAAGGTATGTAAAACACAAATGGTATCTTCTACACTTTCCCACACCTTCCCTTTTTTCCTATAATGATCAATTCATCTATTGTAAAGATTGTTCCATGTCAGGAGAACATCAAGAGCCTTGATTTGTGTGGCACGCTGAGCCGTCATTCACTTGCTATCTGAACAATGCAGTCAAGACTCCACTTCTGTACACCCACGGATAGTCTCTCTACTATAATTGGGCTGCAGAGATCTGAAAGGAATGTGTGAGAGGGGTGAGGATAATGGCTGTTTTTTTTTTTTTTATATGGTTTCACTCTGTCGCCCAGGCTGGAGTCCAATGGCATGATCACAACTCACTGCAGCCTCAACCTTCTGGGCTCAGGTGATCCTTCCGCCTCAGCTTCCCATGTGACTGGGACTACAGACACATGCTACCATGCCCAGCTATTTTTTTTATTGGCTAGAACTGTGGTGTTTCTGTTTTTGTTGT